TCAGAGCAATGCTGGCCATGGAATGAAAAAGAATGAGCGAGTCATATATATATATATATAGCGATGCCCTTGTTCCTAGCTACTAGTAGTAACGCCAGGAGCTACTAGTAGGTTCTTGTTACTAGTGGCGATGCACCTTGTTACCAGTGCGTCGTGAGCTTTCTGAGGCACAGTGGTCTCTCAGAACTTCTTACACAGCTTCGATGGCGCTCTCAGGGGAGCTCGTTGCTGAGAACGGCTGTAGGCTTCAATATGTGCAATGTTTGAGATCCCAATGCGTTCATTGAAATTCAGCGTGGAACATTGTTCATTAAGTGAGCGTTGAACATGTGTATCCACAAGACACATTTGTCCAACCCGAGTTTTCAAGACGGTGCTCCAAGGCGCTGTCCTTACGGCTGAGCCAACCTGCTGGCTCGTGGGTGTTGGGATTTGTCGTATTTGCATGTCATCTTCGAGACTTGTCAGGGTCAACGAAACAGATAGATAGGAGGCCATCGCTTCTAGGTTGGAGGCCATCACTAGAAATATGGACCTCTGGTTGGATCTCATTCACGACTTCTGGCTCTGAGCTTTGACTTGCTCTGGGTGTCCGCGTCGACTGCGATCATGGAGTCCTTGAAACGTTTGACAGCGCTGCTTACCGCAGTGGCTGCGCACAAGTTCGATTTGATTCTTTATGGGGCTGACGCCTGGCGAAATGCTGGTGAAAACGTTTTACGGCCGATTCTGGCGTTTTGGAGGGGGAGGCCATGGCTACTAGGTTCCTTTTGCTTTTAGATTGATCGCTCTCGCGGGGATGCCATTGCTATTAGTAAAATTCTAGATTTGGCAACTTTTCCAGAATCATAGAGTAGTCAAATGATAGCTGCCTTTCTCGAGCCAGCCCGAGCCACAACCCATACGCATGTTGTCGGCCAGCCCGAGAACGCCCGTCCAAAAGTCTTCACTTCGCCTAACGTGAGTGCCAGCCATATCCAAACCTTTGTGCTACTTTGGGACAAACGTAAGCGCTAAGCCGCTGAACGTTGATAGCTACTAGGAGCAAAGGGCATCGCTACTAGGAGCAACGCTACTAGCGGCTCCTGGCCTTACTACTAGGAGCAAGGACGCTACAAGTGTGGACGGATGCGTTGATGGATGGGTGCTACTTAGGATGGATGCGTTGGCCACTTCGCAGCTGCGCACTTGGCGCAGCAAGCGAATTTGACCTGGGCTGTTGCTGGCAGAGACTCGCCAAAAGCTTGCCGTCGTTACAGCAGCTAAACAAAGTGAGACAAGCATTTGATAGTTGACATGAAGCTTTTTTCCATTCACAAGACTTTCTGCATTATTTCAATGTACCGTAGCTGCATGTGGTGTAGCACCGGAAATAGTATGTCCACGATTATGAAGTGGTGGCATGCCCAATCGAAGAATTGTTTTGTGCCTTGTTTTAAGCACGGGTCCACTCCACCCAAGTTGTTTCCAGTTTCGTTGGAACCGCAAGTTCCCATTCCCCAGTCATTCCCCTTAATCTGAAAGAACTTACATGCTGTATGTTTGGAACGCTTTTCTTTGGTTTTCCTATGTTTTCCTCCTTCAGTTTTGGGGACTTCCACCCAACTTCCGCTCTTGAGCAGACCAAGTGTACCACACTGCGGCCAGGAAACCGCTCTCACCTCGAAGATGTGGTATCCCAACTGACAGATGTGAAGTCCAAGCCAGATGTGCTGGTGGCTGCTTTGGATGGTCACAGCGTGGCTTGGGCAATCAACACGACTTTCGTACTGTGAGAAACCGTTCGATTATCATCCAGATAGTTTTTCCTTGCAGTTCGGGCTTCCGTGGCAAAGACTATGGTTTGACACAGCCAGAAGAGCGTCGCTCCGAGTCACACTAAGAGAGCATCAGAATATGAGCATAGTGTAAGGTCATGAAAGGTCATGAAAGGTCATGAAAGGTGAGAATGATAAGACTGATAAGTTAACCTAAGTACTGCAAACGGCTGCTTTACAACACTCAGAAGGGAGGCAACTCGGGTGTTCAACTGGTTTGTTTGACCCCAAGGACCCCAAGGATTGGCTGAAGAGTACTCGAGCAGTGATCACTGCGGCTGGGCCTTTTAGCATCCACGGAGGCGAAGAATTGCTGCGTGCTGCCGCCGAGCTCGGAGTGCATTATGCCGATACCAGTGACGAGCCTCTCGGAGTGCGCTTTTTTGTGGGTGTTCCCAACCTAGTAGCGATGCCTTTGCTCCTAGTAGTAAGGCCAAGAGCCCCGTTCGTAGCGTCCTTGCTCCATTCGTAGCGATGCCCTTTGCTCCTAGTAGCGAACCTTGTTACTAGTAGCGTTGGCCTCCAACCTAAGAGCAATGGTCTCCAACCTAGGCGGATACCAGTGACGAGCCTCAAAAAGCCAGACCCGTCACCTCGTTGTCTTCCCCATGCCAGACTGCATGAGAAGGAATGGAAGGAAGAAGACAAGAATCTGAAGAAGCACAATGAAACACACATTAGACAAGAAAAAACACATAAACTGACTTGAACAGAAAATAGCTGTATGTTGGCTACTTCACTCCATTGTACTGCCCCAAGGTTCTACTGGCAGCGCTGGATGATTGACCGCTATGACCAGGTGGCTCAAAAGTCCGGCTCCAAGGCTCGCAGCTTCTTGTTCGCAGCGATGCCCTTTGCTCCTAGTAGCGATGCACTTGTTACATCTTGTTACTACTAGTAAGGCACTTGTTACTAGAAGCGATGCACTTGTTCCTAGAAGCGAACATTGCTCCTAGTAGTAAGGCCAGGAGCTAGTAGCATCCTTGCTCCTAGTAGCGATGCCCTTTGCTCCTAGTAGCGAACCTTGTTACTAGTAGCACATGCATTACTACTTTCTATTTTATTGGCTGGGGGTAGGCCGTGAGGAGAGGTAGGTAGTAGTAGCTAGAGGTGGCTATGTTGTGGGTGCCAACACACACAACTGACGCTGCTACATGGTCAAAAATGCAAGCAACATGGTTAAGACTTGCGACGACAGGCAGCCACTGGAAATGTAGATTTTTTTTTTGGTGAGGTCCTGAGTAAGGAACTCAGCAAGAAAATAGTGTACATAGGTTGGGGTGTTCGTGCAACATGTGAAAAAAGAGCAATCAAAACGTGATTGCGGAGACATAGGAAAGCAAAGCGTGGACAGGAAAATAGTGAGCAAATAGCAAGAACATAGTGATACAATCGTGAGAAAATAGTGAGCATACTGACTGACATATTATGAAACGCCTCCTGAAACGACACGTGACGTTTATATTTTATTATTAGCGTTATTAGGTTTCGATTCTGGATTGTTTTTTTGATCACATGTTGATCACCTTGTTTTTGCTTTCTTCTTGCTTTTGGTATCCAAATATTTCAATCACATCACCTTTGGAGCTTTCTGCTCACCTTTCCGCTCACTTCTTTTTTGACTTGTCCCCTATCCTGCACTCTGAGATTGCTTTTCGTTTGCTCCAACTCCTACTCCGAAATCACAAAAAATAGACTATTTTGGCCACCCTCAAGTGGCTGGCTGGACTCCATCTCTTGAATATGGAAGGCACAATCATCCTGGTACAGTAACTGAAATGACTTCATATTCATAAGACTTCATATGTCAAGTCATGTCAAGTCCTGTGACTTTCTTGTTAGAAGATTGATATGACTTGTAAGTAACAAGTGCATCGCTACTAGCAAGAAGGGCACCGCTAGTAGTAGTAGCTAATGTTTTGCTACTAAGTAACAAAAAGCTACTCATTTGCTACTAGTAGTAATGCATGTGCTACTTAAGTTTCCCTAAACATCTAGAAATCAAATCATTAGTGCGAGCGCTTCTTTACGGAAGCGTGAGCTATCCTGCGTCCTGTCAGTAGTAGCTATTTAAGCTACTAGCCACCTTAGTCCTTTTCATTTGGTCAATGCAGATCCTCCTAGTTCCAATAGCAACCCCGTCGATTTGATCAATCCTTTTTCCAGGGAGCACACTTCCTTGTTTGGTAACGAAGAGCCTTTTGTTTGGTAAAATCTAAATTTGGTGAACGAAGTTTCGACCTCATGACTCCAAAAGACCTTGTGGATATATATATATATATATACACATACATACTATGCATATATATATATATGTGTGTGTTCAGTTGTTTGGATAGGATAGGATAGGATAGAATAGGATTTCATTCTCTGCAAGGTTTCACTTTGCTATGTTTCAAAAGATGTGAAATGATTAGCATGCTGATAGGCATTATGACTTCCGTCTTGCTTCTCTAAAATGTTGAGCCAGGTGGTTCTGTCCAGTGGTTTCTGCGTTTTGGCTGGCGATTTGGGCGCCCAGCTGGCGCTGCGACCATTGCAGAATCGCTCTGCCGATGCGTCCGTTGCGTCCCTGGATGCCTGGCTGGAGGGCTACAATGGTGGCGTGAGCGCTGGTGTGATCCACACCGCTGAAGCCATGAAGAATGCGTCCTTTCCCAAGGTGTGGATCAGGGGCATCGCTATACTAGTAGCTGGGGTTTTACTACTAGTAGCTAGGGCATCGCTTCTACAGATTCTGAGGATAGGAAGTGATACTCAGTAATTCTCAGACATTCTCATGTATCTAGTGCTCCAGACTAGGGGCGGTCAGATCAGGTCACGCATCAGAGAATTGAGCCTGGCACGCCTGCCCCCGGCAAGGCTTGGGAGACTGATCCTTACGTGTCTCTCGGCTTTTTGTTGAGTTGCTGTGGGGCCCTGTGGGGAGGTTATGTGTGACTATGTATGGCACACACATGTCATGTCCTCAATCATCAAAGTCATAAGAGCCATGCCTAAGGTCAAAGGATGTTCCAAGGCATCCACATCTATCACAACTGCAGATACAGTAGATTGCTTGTTGCGACATTGGGCTCAGCGTAAACCTTGCCAGATAAAGTCCTTGCTTTATACTACAGTAAACAGTGTCAAAATTTGGTGGTCAAGTACAATCGGAAAGTTTGATACTGGTTGTTTGCTTGATTAGGCTGGCGCCTAACGCCACTGCTGACTTGCGAAAGGACACCAAGGTGCTTTGCCGGATCGTACCGAGACTTGATGTGTTCTTTTTTCCTGACCATTGCTTATTGAGAAACTTCCTGACTGACAGGTGGAAGGAATGCATTACCCATCCTGGGTGTCAGGAGAGGGCACCTTGTCATGCAATGGTGTGCGGCGTGCGGGCAGGATCGGGCAGGTAGGGAAGTGTGTTCATTTTGAATTGTGACAGCTTAATGCTTCTACGAGGGTTGCCCTGATTCAACTAGTAAGCCATGGCTTAGAGATGTCAATGTCAACAGGACATTGCAAGAGAGATGCTACTAGCAATGCCCTTTTTGTTACTAGTAGCTTCTTGTTCCTAATTAGTAGCAATGCCAGGAGCTACTAGTAGCATCATGTAGCATCCTTGCTCCGTTCGTAGCGATGCCCTTTGTTCCGTTCGTAGCTTCTTGTCGCACCCAACATCCAGGTGTCGTTGTGCCCAACATCTTCGGTCCCTACGATGCGCGGCTGTTGCGCCGTTCGTTCGTGCAGCTGGAGCAAGCGGTGACTTTGCGAGTCGGAGCTACTGCTGGGATGTATCCTCGGCAAAACATAGGGATGTATGTTTGTAATTAGCGGAATGAGATGATGTGGCTACTTTTTGGCACCTCCGGAATGACCTCCATGTTTTTACTGAAGCTACAGATGTTTGATTGGATTAATTGAATGTTGTTGAAGACATTTTTGCTGGGGATCTAGTATGGAGGTTGCAGAGTCTTGACGTTTTTGTTGCTCCCAAGGTATCCAAAGTGGACGGCCTTCATTGCGGAACATCCTGGCTCATGGTCTAAGTTGACCAAGTGCCCTACCGAGACCGTCTACAAGGATGGGAAAGGCAGAGAGAGAGGCTGCACCAGGTTTAAATTTGGAGTGATGGACGCTGTTCGTGGACGCAACTTGCTTTCTGATGGGCTTTGCCATCGCCTTGCGCTCCTTTCCGCAGCCTTGCCTTGTTACACTCGTTTTCCACGCGTTTTTTCTCGGCATTTTGACCTGACCCTAACTGGTAGCATCCTTACTACTAGTAACAAGGCACCTTGCTACTAGTAGCATCCTTACTACTAGTAGTGACCTGACCCTCATTTATGTGGCTTTTGGCCATCTCGTCCGCAGGATGGCTCTTGGTCGTACCGATTCCACGCTAGTGCAGGGCAGCGACGCTCCTCAGCTTCAGAAGATTCCGAATCTTGTTTTGTCCCCGTGCGTCTGTAGAAACCTGCACTCTGATACACTACAGACACCCCCTTCTTACCTCGCTTGCCTTGAAGAACGATCCTAACTGCCCCTTTAAAACATAGTTTTGTTCAACTGCCAGTTCGGCAACAAGGCTCCGGGGTCCTATTGTCTGGGCACGGAGACCCTGGATATCGCTTTACGGCCGTGGGATTGGCGGAGACCGGGCTGTGCTTGGCTGGCAAGACCTCCAAGTGCCCAAAGCCACTTGGATGTTTCGGTCCACGTGACGATTGAACGTGCGTGTTTCCACTCTTCAAGGTGCGTGCTTCTTTTCAGGAGCAAGGACGAGGTTGGAGGCTCCTTCTAGGGCTGCAGGCTGCAGGCATGTGTTTTCTTTGAAGCTTTAGACATTAGACTCTTCGGACTCTTCAGACTCTGCTTGAGACTGAGCTGCAAGCACTTCACTTTGTCTCACTTTGCTGAGGGGATGGCCCTCTGCTTTGCAGGTATACAGTATACAGTGTTGTTTGGAGAAGGGCTAGTATGTCTCACTGATCATTCGAGCAGTTGCTGAGGCCAAATGCGGCAGGCGTTCTGACACCCATGGCTGCATTGGAAGCAACCGTGTTGCCGCTCAGCTTGGTTGGATGGAGTGGTGTTCAGATATGGCTTATGCGCGCCTGCCGCGTGTGCAATCATGAGAATGTCAGATTAACAACAATGTTTTGGTCTACAAGGTTTTGGCAATTACATGCAACTGCCTTCCCCGCATAAATAATTTGGAACTCGCACCTGAATAATTTCCATCAGAAGCACAATGATTTCACTTGGAACAAGAAATTCAAGCAAGGCCTTATAGGAGGATCGAAAGATGCATGAGGAGAACCCAAAAGGAATTCAATTAGGGAAAACGAGGTAATCAAGAGGACCAGGATAAGGTATGCAAGGGGGTGAACACCAGGCGCCCAGATTCTATTAGATTCAAGTCATTTGGGTCAAGCAGAAACTGTTGAAGGACTGTGACGGGAGTCCCACTTTGTCAGCCCCAGCACTGAAAGATTGTTTTTCCCAGTCTCTGAAACTGTGATTGGTTGATTCAATAATTTTCAATGGGATGCAGCAACACTTTGGGTGTCCTCCAACCTAGAAAGCAAGCATGGGCTGCAGTGGCACTTTCAGAAGTTGACATGAATCCGGGTTCATCATTCTCCTGCATTGGCTGACCAAGGAAAGCTCGTTTGGAAAGTATCGATTTGCTCAAGGTTGATATGCTTGAGAATGCCGACGTGAACGAGATCATTGCATGAGATGCATTTCGTAAATTTTCGCTGGCCTCGGCTATGGCTTCGAGCTGATAAATAGCCAAGAATTGTACCACACGTTTTCCTTAGTAACTGTGGTAGGTCTCAGTTCTCAGCCATGTTTCGTGCGCAATCAAGCACTAGCTATGCCCAGCCCTAATCCGAAAATGTCAGTGGAAGCCAATTGCAAAGCTCTTGGCTGCCGCTTCTCCAGACCCGAGAGGGAGGATCGATGAGGATCGGACTGGTCGGAGTCCAGCACGTGACGATGCGGGACCTGACTTCTTCATGCATAGTGAAGTCCCACTCTGAGCATTCCTTTGGTGGGGTTGTTATGTCACGTCATGTTAAAGGTGTTTAGATACTCAAATGGGGCGTGTGCTTTGTGCATTTGAGCACACGGCGGCCACATGACTCTGACTCACTCTGGGGACTCGATAGCTAGGTCCCCGCAGGATTTGGTCGGTGTGAAGGCACCCCAGCCCAAAACCTTTGGCGGCATCATTGCCCGCATCTTCCATAGCAGGACATATTTTTGTTGTCGGGCACCCAGAGGTGTGGGATGGCGGCAGGCAAGAAGCCTTTTGGAGTTTTTCTTCGGCCCAGTCTCGGTGTTGAGCTGATGAGGGGATGCGATGCATACATAGGGCAGGCAAACTCTACAGTAAAGACATCAACGTGTGTGAACTGTTTGTGCTTTAGACGATAAGGATGCCCTTTGCTCCTAGTAGCTTCTTGCTCCTAGTCATAAGGCCAGGAGCCCCTGGTAGCGTCCTTGCTCCTAGTAGCGATGCCAGGAGCCCCTAGTAGCGTCCTTCTTCTAGGGCACTATACTCGGGATATATTAAGTTTTTGCGCGACTGACGCCCCCTTTCACAGTTCAATGAAGCTGTGGCCGAGGACAATGCAGCAATCAACGACCCCCAGCAAGGGTTCAGTGCTCAGGCTTTTTTTCTTTAGGTAACAAGAAGCTACTAGGTGGAGGCCATCGCTATTAGGTTGGAGGCCATCGCTCCTAGTAGCAAGAAGCTACTAACGTATCAAGGAAGGTATGACGCAGAGCTGCACCAGGAGCTCGTGTTTGTTGGCTCTTTGCGTCGAGTCATTTTTGCCAATGTGGGCACCACCCGTGTGGGCTGTTCTAGGAGGAAAGTTTGCCCTTGGCACTCACATTTGTTGTCCTTTCCAAATCTCTTGGTAGGGTAGTAGGGTGGAGTGCCTTATACGTGCCTTTCCGACGGTGTGTCAATGAAGAAACCGCCTTTGCAGGGGACAAGACATTAAGCTAGTAACTAGTAGTCCTACGCTCCCCGAACCTAATAGCAACGCCTCCAACCTAATGACGGCCTCCAACCTCATAGCGATGGCCTCGAACCTAGTAGCATGCTAGTAATCCTACGCTCTCCGGGTAGTCATCTGACATTCGTATCGCTGCATTTGCTGGCGCTTGGCTGTACAAACAAGTTGTTCGGGCATTTGCTGATTTGAGCGTCTATTTACAAGAAGGTCACGATGCAAACTGTGCTAAAGTATATGAGTGTTGCCAAAACCCAGCATTGTCAGCAGCTTTTGAACACCTTCAGATGTGAAAGGCAGATGTGCACATCATTGGGCTCCAATGGCAATCAATCCATTCAAGGATGACTTGATGGACCCTAATATAGATGGCCAACCAAGCGATGGCCTCCACCCGTCCATGGAGCCCTGTGCGGAGCCCAGGGGCGAAGCCCAAAAACGGAGCCGCGGGAGGCAGCATGAAGCGGTAGGTGCTACTAGTAGCTTCGTGCTACTAGTCGTAATACACGTGCTACTAGTAGCGATGCACTTGTTACTATCAGTAGGTCTCCCAATCTCACAGAACCCAAGTTGTCAAAGCCTCTCAACCCAAGTGACCTCTTCACTTTTGGCCCAGCTGGCAAACTTGTAGGGCAATAGATGTAGCCACTGGGCTCACTGCTCCATCCTGGAATCCAGTTGGATGATCCTGTAGTTTGACGGGTGCAGTCTTTGTGATGGAAGTGCCCAAAACATGCTGGGAACCCTGGGAGAGAAATGAGCTGGGGAGGAGCCCAAAACATTCTGGGGTCTAGTCCTTGTGATGTTTGGGAGGTTATATAATGTTTCTGTGGTGGAACAATGGCAGTAACTTTGAATGTTGGCGGAACGATTTCCCCGGGATGCCGACCTCAAAGAAAGGGCGCAGAGAGGTATACCTCCAAGCATTTGCCCAACTGTTCTAAGTCTAAGCTTCAAGAAAGCTCCAGCTTCATGGGCTCCCCCCATTCAGTACCTCAGCCATCCCTGGAGATATTCAGATTGGAGACCTGCTCGCTGCAGCATAAGCAATGACAGTGCAGGAAAGGAAAGATGTTCCTGGACTATAGCATTGGTACAGTCAGATGAGGATTGGCATGAGCGAATCAGCAAGTGGAATCAACACATGAATTACAATGAATTCTGTGTGCCGTGACAGGCCAACTCATGCAGCCTCCCGAACGAAGGTACCACCATTTGAACCTACAGCTGAACATTTAAGCCAGAACGATGCAGCCTGCAGGTAATAGCAGCTAAGCTTCTGGAGGAATTGTTGCTTTCAGAGCCCTAAATTGTAGAGAAGATCCACTGTACGCATGCTGCATGACCTTCCTCAATGCACTGCTCTTTCTTACCACATCACTAGATACCACTGCAGCCAACCTATCATTACATGAATACTTCAAAATGAGGAAAGCCTCGGCTTCTGCAATCAGCGCCTTGTTATCACTTCGGTGAGCCCTCCAATTCCATCTCGTTGTCCGGTGGTGCCGAGTGCACCCAAGTGCACCCGAGTGCACCTGGCGCCGATGTGCCGATGCCGGCGTGGGCAGATGCACATCGCCTCTCGGTGGAAGGAGTGACCAAGTCGTGAAGGCATAGGGTTCGTTCGTGATGTAAAAAGGCTACTAGTGACAAGAAGCTACTAGGGGCTCCTGGCATCGCTACTAG